GATCAACTGTCTCAGATTACAATGCAGTAGATGAGAATGATGAAATCCACCGAGTGATGATGGAAGTGGAACCATTGCTGGAAGCTTCGGGAAAACGTAATTGGAGGAGCATCATGTTCACACATGACGAGTTTCCTTGCCACTGCTTGCTGCAGACCTGGTGGTATCCCAAGCGTAGTAATCTGATGTTGATCTGGGACTCTGGAGAGCTGCTCTCCATGGGTTTACCACATTCATCACAGCCCATAACAATAGTGATAGTGGGAGTTATGATGGCGATACGATGGCTGGAAGCTCATGTGAGAGAAAATAATAGACAGAAGGCGCCGACGAGAGAACAATTGCGGAAATTAGATTGTCTGAAAGACTTAGATCTTTTTGAGACAATGTGCAAAGTTCTAAACATTCCGATGGAAGTGAAGAAGATATGGGCAAGAAAACGATTGATGCCATGGTTCAGAGCTAACATGACTGCATGGTTGTACGAGTATGCGAAAAAGCATATGTCGAAACATGGCAGAGTGTACAGTGAATATCAGCTGGACATTGGGGCAGGAGCTTTCAAGCGGGCTTTCGTGACCCATCGGAATGCAGTGACCACCGCTGTGAAGAGAATTTCCAGGACGAGTGAGCGTAGTGGAAATGAGAAGGCAGAGATGCTGAAAGAAGATTTGGAGAGAAACGTGACGTTGTGTCTCCACAACAGCTTCTGTAGAAACAGAGAATCAAACGTGGATCCCCTACCTTGCTGTAAACAGAGGGTGGAAGAGCAGAAGTGTTGGAGGACGGCTTCCAACAGCGTCAGGATAGTCAATGACGTGCTACAAGACACGGAAACCGAAAGTGCGGAGTAAGTGTCACAGGAGGAGGAAATGGAGCATTGACGAATGGTCGAGAAAACAAGAGGCAGCAAGAAAGAAAATTAGAAGAATTTAGAAGTTTTAGAACTTCTAAACGACGAAAAAAGAAGAGAACAAAGGAGTGATGAAGAAAAACTTAAAACTCAGAATTGTTTTATGTGTGTGAAAAACTCAAGTGAGAAACCAAGCAACCAAGTTGTAATTGAAAACTGAAACATTTAGTTGAGTTTTGAAATTGTTGCATTTTGATTTTAGTTGAAGTGGCTTTAGAGACACTCACTTATTATTTATTTAGAAAGGCTTGAGGGAAGAGTATATTTAAATATTCCAGCCTGCATGATTGTTTTTAATCACTTAGGAAGACTGATCACTTTGTGGTGATGTGGAAGGCTTGAGTAATCTCTCGAAGAGGGAGATTGTTTCATTGTTCTTTCTAACCACAAAGTTTCTTAGTTTTAATATTCAGGACAATAAACAAGCAAGATTTCCGAAGGGAAGGAGCATAGTAGGATAATTTTAGCTTTTTGGTTGGCAGGACTGTCCTGCAAGCCAACACCTTTTAAATCTAGGAGAAAAAGTTCTAATCGGGACATTGACACTGGAAGTCAGAAAAAATGTTTTATCTTAAGTCATATCCTCAATGTGCAGATTAATGAAGGAATTTGAAGGCTATAGTGATGTAGTATGATGCCATTTATATTCTGCAGTGAGTCGATGTGACGTAGATAAAAGAAATTTCGTGCATTTTGTAAATTCTGTTCGATGACACTGTAACCATTTAGAACATTGCGCGATTCAATGAGGACATCGACGGGACTGTCCGGGGAGTATGTGACATTCGACCAGAATGTGAAAAATGCAATCTCTGCAGAATTCGGAATTTTAGCAGTAAGCCTTCCGGATTGGTGGTTTTTAAGAACTAAGGGCGTTATTGGAACGTTTAGCCAAACGGTGAAGGCTGGAATATTCTAGTATTTTAAAATTTCAAAAATTCGAATGATGACGTCACATTTCTGAGAAATGCTGAAACGGCCATTTTAACAAAAAACGAGAGAAAACACAACAACAACATTAGTTGCGCTGACGAGAACAACTTTATCGAAATTGAAGAAGTCGAAATTGAAGAAAAACAGCAGCAGATTGCAGAGAACGTTCCGAGTTGCAACTATTGTGCTGCTACAATAGTTGCAAGGCCGTTGCGAACAACGGTGAAGGGTAAGAAACCAGCCTTCCGTGTTGTCGTGAAATCGAACTTAAGGAGCTTGATTCACCGGATTCAAGAATCCGGAAGGGTCTCGGGACGGAAAACTTTTATTGACTCATATGAACTTTTAGCATCCTGTCATGTCCTGACTTGAATTTAATTGATATTTGGATTAGTTTTGACAAGGATGAGGTGCTAAGAGTTGGGGGGGGGGGGGGGGGAAGGGTTGATCCATCTTCGATGGAGATGATGATTTTTATCTACTGAACAAAAACAATAGTAATATAATAAGTAGTAGCCCTGTTTTTAGGAGTGACCTCGTGGTCTGGGGATACTGAGACCCAGCCATGAGCTCACTATTTTTGCATGTAATTCAGTTAATTTGAGCGTTCTGGTCGAAGCCGGAGAACAGTAACGTTTTTGTCGACCCGATGTTAGAAAAGACCACCGAAAAGTACTGGCTTGGTAGAGACGGTGAAAAACATGCAAAGCTCTGTTTAGACGCTAGCCAGTCGTCTTAAGACTTAGTTTTGTTATCCGTCGATATGTATCTTCCGGGCGAATGTTACATGTATGTTTTTATGGCGCTCCTGGGTGTTATTCTTTTATAACATCATGACCGGCGGAACCGTTAACGAGCACTCCGCGCCGAGCGGATGCTCACATTAACGCCCTTAATAGGCCTAAACCGCCGGGGCGGAAGGGTAGTTCGGAACGCGGAGGCCTTCTGGATTGCCGTGAATAGTTTTTTAACCTAGTTAAGGCCGAAAATTCACGAACTAGGAAGGGTGGGGGGATCGGCCGTCTCCTCGTCCCCTGAGTGGTTGGTGACCAAAAACACTTAAAGATATAAGTAAAACCAAACAAAAAGTAGTATAGTACCCAAGAAAAACAAAAAACATAAAAAATAACCGAAAAAACGGTTTTGGCTAGTTTAGGGTAAATGTTCTTGGGTCTATGAGACCTTGGAAAGCATCCCATGGGAAATACCGTCCTGTTAAGTAGAAAGATTCCTTCGCTTTTGATGCTGGCTATAAATTGATCTGCTTCGGGGGTATGAAGTTTGCGGTCGTCTTTTGTCACAGTTATTGTTTTTGAGATTGTCATCTTCTGTAGCATTGTTGTGGGGAATTGTTTCAGTATATCGGAAGCACAACTTCGATATGCCTACGCCAGATTTTAAGCTGACTTGACAATTTCTCTCGAGAATGGGGGGGATCATTTTGATTATTTGGATTTGTTTTGTTTCTTCCGCCGATTTGTTTGCTGCTAGGGCATTTCTAAATTTTGTCTCCGTTCCAATCAGCACTTCATGAGTAATTGGTAGCTGAGATTCCGTCAGTTGTTGTTGACACATGACTCGGTTTTACTCGTGGGGGGAAGCCTTCGCCCGGACATTTACTTGAGAAAAAAATAGATGTTTACATTAAAATATAGAAATCAGAAGGCAAAAGCATTAACAAGAAACCAAAGAGAAACTTATTTTAGTCTTTTCCTAATAACATTGTTTCGTTTGAAAAATTTGTATGGAATACCGCAGTCATGTTTAAAAAACTTTAATTTTTTTTTCAAATTTTAATGTTGTTTTCATCAAAACAAAACGCCTGAATCTGAGATCTGACGAGACAGACGCTTCTTACTTTCCATTTTTTCTGTTTGTACTTTCCCATTTTTCTAGAGATTCTGCCAACCGGTGATGGTGTAAATTTTTTTTTGAATTGCTGTGTAAATTCATGGGAGTGTTATTTTTGCTTGCATGTGCATGGGCCGAAATTCATATTAAATTCCGCTCCAACATTCTGTTTCTGATTTAACGTTTCACCTGATAATAACTTTCTAAGTTGATAAATAAAGTTTTTGAATTTTCCAAAGACGATATCTTGTGCAATTGAAGGGACTAAGAAAATGACGTTTTTTCTTGTAAAATTGCTTGACTCGCTAGACTCTTGAAAATCAAAACGTTGAACCACCTGAGTCTTAAAGTTTTTAGCGTTTGAATGTAAATTCAAAAAGCGGGAAGTTTTGTTTGAATTCGTTGTTCGTGTTAGGAAAATATTTTTATAGACAGAAAGTTTCTAATTTTCTGGAATTATCTGCCTAGGAGATTCATATTACAATTCCAACTGTGACCAGTCAATTTGTTGGATTTTTTATTATCTTCGAAATTTTTGGAAAATTACTTTTTTCGTAACATCGTGGCTCTTAGGCCTTTGTTTTGTCGCTAATGTTTTCGCAATCCCTTTTGCTTACTTCACCTTTAAACAAATTTTTTTTTTCAGTTGATTCTCTTGGTACGGGTCTTTTAAACTAAGGTGTTTCGATATCTGCATTGCTTTCAGAGATCCTTCAACTCAAGAAATTTAATTCTTAACAAATGAAAATTAACCTAAGTGATAGCACATACGACATACCAGATTCTAATAAAATTGATTTATCATGTTTAATTGAAAAGATTCGAAAAAAACTGCAGATGATGAGTAATAAAAAAGGAATGGCAACGTTTCATTCGAATTTGCGCAATTGCTCGTTCTGTTCAGTTTCATCGAAGCTTGCTCATCCTCACTTCAGTTAACAGAAAAAATTGATGACTGAAATTGTAATTCAAAGTCTGAGCATCAGCCTAAGCCTAAGCCGGTGATAATCTAAGGTCAATACAATGGTTTCTGGTAACTGTAAATATCGTTGCTTCACTATAATGAACTACCAGATAGAAGTCGATTTTACATCAAGGTTTCAGTTTAATACGTTCATTTTCAAATGTTCGTCAACTGATTAAGTGAGCAATCAAAAAAATTGAGCGGGACTGCATTTGACGTTCAGAATGCAGCAACTGAGAAGTGCAGCAACCGATATTCGTTTCATATGTGGCTCTCTTCTCCTCTCTGCAATGCTTTTGCTAACTATTATTTCAAGCTAATGCAACAGGGGCAGATAATTTTTTGCTTTTCCTAATTTCAGGTTGGATGCCGAACAAGTCCTTAGCCGTGTCAGTTGACCTGACATTATACTCGGTATGTTTCCAAGCGTTATTGGTATAGGTATAGATTTTAATAGATGTATGACTTCAAAGTAATGAAAGTGGTTGACAACTTGGAATGATTTTTCTATCGAACTTGAAACTTGTTGGATTCAACTGACCATCATTTTTTCACCTAAAATTTTTGAAACAAAAGTAAAACGTTTTCTTCACAAGTAAACTCGTTCAATCGTATTTTTTTTTTCGAACCACTTCTAAGAATTAGAAGAAAATTTAAAAACCCCGAAAAGTGTTTTTTGATTTAAGTTTTTCCTCTTTGTTTAATAATTTACTAAAAATAATGTTTTCTTTGTTTTATTTTGCTATCCTGGTTGTATAGGTATCTTGTCCGGGTGTGATTTTGAAAGATCGGGAGGATATCTTCGTAGACATTTGTGTCTTTGGCCTGCATAAACAATCCATTCCAGTCCCTGCAATATTCCCACTGTACTTCAACGAACGCTTCAAATTCAGAAAGGTTAGTTTTTGTGTTTTGAATGCAAAGTTATAATATTGCTATTCAGACAGAAAATCTTGCCGTTTTTGGACGTAAAATTTTTGAGTTATTCTAGCTTTGAAGTTTTAATCATATCATTTAAACCATTTTTTCATGAAACTATTAATTTAGGCTTATAAATATGACAATTATCGATTTATCTTGCACATTAAATTGTTTCAGCTAACGTTTGTTTCAAGCTAGCTTGCAGTTCTTTTTCTGCTTCAGGTCTTCTACAATTGCGTTAATCCCCTGGAGTTGCACGAGTCTTTAAGCAGTAAGTGATTTGAAGTTTCTCAACCTTTTCTTTTCATTGGCAGCTAAATTTTTGAGGGCCGGTTTATTAGCGTGTGTGTCAATAAGCATGCACTCATTAAAAATTGCAGTTGACACATTCACTTATTCAAATTGATTATCAGACGAAATTGCTTTTTCTCTGAAAGGTCGCATAATTAAAACAATTATGACACACTAATAGTTACATATGCTTATCGCTATACCCTCATACTTTTGCTATTACTTATCATTATAGTGGGTTTCGATTCTACCATATTCTATTTACTTCCATTTTATCCTTGCGATAAGGAAGAGTACTGAAACCGGGTACAATACTTTTTTCTTTAAGATAACTTAGCTCACAGGACGACTGAAATTGGTGATTTTCTACAAATCTGTACTTTCGTTAACCAACAGGCTTATTTTGAGGTTGTCTGCATTTTGAATTCCTGCTCTATGTACTTATGCGAGCTTGCGAGCGTAATGTCACATTAGGAAGTGCTCTTTTTAAACCCAACTCGCTAATAATAGTGCTCATTTGGGGGCATTTTTGCTGACATAGCATCTTTTGTATCTGCTATTTTGGTGGCTAGTGTTTAGTGATTTTCAAACGACCCAAGCGCAGGTGCGGTGATATGAGACTCTTAATCTTTAGGTCGCGGGGTTAGATTCCATCACAAACATCGAAAGTTTTATTTTTCTAATTTGTTCCCTTTTTACTCCTTATTTCGTTATTTACACTTGCCAGCTTGCAAGCGAAGTGTATTAGTACGAAACTCCTTTTTTAACCTAACTCGCAAATAAAAAGGTTAATTAAAAGTATTGACTTATTTGGTGGCGCTTTTGTTATAATCACGATGTTGCGATGAAATTTCAAAGCATCTGTTCTCTGCTTCATTTGAGGCCACTATTTGTGATTTATCCTGCGTCCATGGCTGAGTGGTTAGTGCGTGAGACTCATAATTTCTAGGTCGCAAATAGAATCCGAGACGTAGCCGAATTTTTACTAATTCGAGGCTTGTTTCTACTTTTTCTGATATCACTTTATAGAGCTGCTTTTTGTCGTTTATTCGCTAGTGTTTGCAGAGCGAAGCCTCTGTGTTCAAACATTTTTACAGCTACTTTTTGCCGTATTGTTGCTTTTGTTTGCGACATACAGCTTCGACTCTTTGTCGAAATTTGTTTTTGTTCAATGTTTGTTCTAAGTTTACGATTTCCGATTTCAGTATACTCCGACCTCTATTTTTTGCGCCGTTTGTTGAGCAAAAAATTTTTAAATTAATTTGCATTGGGCGACTTATTAGTTTTTTGAGTTATCAAATTTTTTCTTATTTTTGCGATAAGCAAGGGTAAAGCAACTGGTTGCTAGACTTTTTTCCGGTAAATAACTTTTATCAATGATCAGTCAAATGGTAATCAGTATAGTTTATAAACGCTGTTTTAATGGCTTTTTAAGTAGTGTATTAATTACATACATGCCTTGGGTGCACTTAAAAGTTGCAAGGTAATTTTTGTCGTTGTAGATTTTCGGCACTGAGGTCGGTCGGCTTTAATTCTGTCGGCTTTTAATCCTAATTTTTTCTTTCTGTTAATTTTTTTGTTTTTATTGGAGAGCGATTGCTCTCGAACGAGAAACGTTTTTAAAAACCTAAATCACCCTCTAAAGCCTTCCGTAATTAAGTTCAAAAAATTAGTATGAAAAATTGTGAACACTGTTTGTTTCAAATTCAAAAAATCTCTTTTCGTCTTTTTAGTTTTTTTAATTTTGGCCGGAGCTTGGTATTTTGGCTGCGCAACCTGCTGTGATTGTTACGCTTACGAATAGCAAGCGTTAGAAAATCAGAATATGAAATTTTATGGGTTAAATTGTTTTAAAAAATTAAAATGTTCAACGTGATTTGAACGACATTAAAAAATTCACTTTGAAAAGTTTAACGTGATTCGGAAAACATTTTAAAAGTTTCCAAAAAGTTATCTGAGAGGCGAGAAAAACAATTTCTGATTTTTTGTCTAATTTCGAGCGAGTAAAACGAGCAAGCAGGCTTATTTTAGAAGGATAGGAGCAGATTATTAGTAAATAAGCCATGAGTAGGTCGGAAATTTCAATAAAATAAGTTTTCAAAGTTTTTAGCGCCTTCGTGGGAATCAATAACTTATAAATTTTGAAAATATATCTGCAATTTTTAACTGTGAATATCGGAAATGCCTAAAATTTAGTTTTTTGTTAAGATCTTTTCAGCAAACCGCACACAAAAAAAGATGCAATTAATTTAAGAAAAACTTTTTTTGTAGGTTTTTAAGAGTTTGGTTTGATTATTCTGTACTGCTTGCACAACAACCGGCTATCCTTGTTTCTTTTTGAATACCCTTAAAATCAAAAGTTCACTTCGTTTTTACCCACTTGGGGCGATTAAGTTTTATTAACATTTGAAACAAAACATTAATTTGATTCTTTCTTTTCTAAGTTTTTTTAAAATATCTATTGAGAAACTTTCAAAAATTTTCAGAAGTTCGATATCTCGAAAACTACGAGGTTTTGAAGGCTCATTTTTCACATAAGCACCAAACTTTTATAGGATTGTCTAGCAGCATTTAACCAATTGGTTGAACTTTTTCATTTTTTCATCTTCTAAAAATGTATCTTACTAATGCAGAGTTTGAATTAAACAAGATGTTTTGTGATAATGAAAAAATGTGATATTTGCTTAAAAGATTTGTTTTGTTTCACATGTACCGTATTGAAGATCTTTCTATGTTCTTTTTCCAGTGAAAGCAAGTTAACATGAACCCTCATTATGGCTTTCAGAGAAATTTGAAAAGTAAACATTTTGTTCAAAATTATTCATAATGTAGTTTGCTCAGACTTGAGTACAAATTTCAGAAGCTCATTTGCGTGGTATTCGAAGATATTTTGGGAGCAGAATTTAACTTGGTTCCAAGTTTGAGTTTTCAGTTAATGTGAATGAGGGTTTTGAAGCAGTTCTATGCAATTTTATTTCGAACTAGATTGTTTCTAGGGTTGGGCTTGGTAAAATTGATGGCTATAACTTTTATGTCGCTAGGCTGGGGGCTATAATAAGAAAGGTATTTTTTTTGTTCAGATGAGACTGTGACGATAGAAGTGATCCAAAAGAGCCGCTTCATCCATGCTGGAGTGGTGCTGGCCAATCTCGAGATGAGAGCTAAAGACTTCCTCTTCCCCTACCCCTCTCAAGTACCAGTCTACTCTGGCGCGGACAGAGAGCTACTACTCACCAAAACACTACATTTCAGCGTAATTACTCGTTCTATCTGAAACTACTCCTTTTTCTATTCAACTAATTTCAGCCAAAGTTCAAAAAACGGCGTTTTTTATCTTAACATTGATATTTGTTCTGAGAAGAGTGGTTTGGCTGCTTTCGAAAACATAAATCGATGAAGTCAGAATTGATGTCCAGGTTTGTCCAATGTTTCCTGTCTTCCTCGTGGAAAAATAAAAGTATTTCCAACTTTAATTTTTTTGGCAACTTCGTAGTTCGTCGTTAATTTGTTTTCTTTTTATGATGATTAAGTCTAACCATTCAAATTTTAGATAAACTAAATTTGAAAAACTTAGTTTTAATTGATTTTGACTTGTTAGCTTCGTATAGCTTTTGCTTGCATCAAAAACTCTGCAAAAAATTCAAATGTACTATTAAGTAAGCGTGTTTGAAATCATATTAAAGAAGCAAACAATTTACTTGGTGAAACTGAACATGATTATTTGATTCTTTTTTCTGTAAAATATACAATAGAAGATCTACAAGCCAGTCATACAGAATGTATTTGAAAATTCTATGACCAAAAAGCATGCTGAAAATTTTTAATTTTGCTGTCTTGAAATTAAATTTCATAGTATGAGTTTTACTTGCTAGATCATTAAATGAATTAGAATTCCAATGCTATCTGAAAGTTTTTATATAGTTAATGGAGGATTTAGTTTTTAAGAAATCGCAAAAATCATCGACCTTATTAGGTTGTCCAAATTGTTTTACGAACTATTCCAAAATCATTTATGCACCAAACCCTTTTGCCAAATTTTTGTGCCCCTGGAGGTTTTTTTGCGAAAAATGCTGTTTTGGCGAGGTGTATATAACAAAAAGGGCATTTTATTGCACCATTTGGCGAAAATATATACAGTATAATAATCTCAAAACTGAAACCTTAGACAAAAATGGCAAACATCATTCAGGGTTGAATGGTCCCCTCGGCACGCGACTGCCTAGAAGATTTTAGATTTTTTTTTCTATTTTTTCCTTCGGGCCTAGGTGTGTATTTTTTGCAAATGCGGATTCGGTTGTTTTAGACCTGAAAAATAAAATCCAGTTTATCTACAGCCCTTTGATCTTATTTTTTGCTGCTGATTCCGTGAGAAAGGGCTCTAAAAGGTACGCTGCGGATTCCGTGATAAAAAAATGACCAAAACTGCGGATTTTGTGATAAAAAAATGACCAAAACTGTGGATTCCGTGATCAAACGTTTGAGACCAACTGTAACTAATTATCTCCTGTTATTTCCTTTTAGGGAATATCTCCGAAGGTGGAGTTCGCCTCGGTGACGGCTGTGAACGAAGTGCACACGACCGCATCTGACGAACTGAACGACAAGATACACATGATCAACAGGGTCAGTTTATGTCTATTCCTTATAAGGTCATATGAGATAGTAAGATTAGCTGGTTGCTGTGCAAGTAGAATATAAAAGGTTATGAGCGAAGTTATAATTTTGAATCAAGTTCTCAAAATAATGTGATTTTTTTTGTTGTAATTTGAATAATTGAAAATAATAATATTTTGCTCCCTTTCTTAAAGTGAAACTGCCTTTTATCTTTGAATAGAATGTGCGCTGAAGTTTTGTAAAACTAGGCGACATGGCATAGTGGTAAGCAAAAAAGTCATATTTTGAAGTTTTTAAAGAATATTTGTTTTCTTGCCGTTTTTAGAGCCCCTTTTGGCACTTTTTCTGCTTTTGCTGCGAAGTGCATCTTATCTGTGATAAAAAAAAAATTTCAAAACAGATCAAAAGGCGACTATAAGGGTATCAATATATAAGTGTTTTGTAGCACCTGAATTTGTGTGAAATGAAAACAAAACCACTCAAATCTACACGTTTGATGCTAGGAACAGTAACAAAACATCTTGCTTTAACTTATTTATTTTCACTCAGTTAGACCAAGCGAAGGCAAAGCACTGAGGTGTAGGGTGTTTTGAGTACCTCAAAGAAAAATCGTACGAGGGTCAAGTTTGTTATCCATTTAAAGCCCTTATTTGATTTTTTTTTTCGATATCTAATTTCTAATTTAAAAATTTCAATGCAGAAATAAGGGTGATCGGAACAGTATGTGCTTTCCCAGCAACCGGCTATCCTCGTTTGATTAGCAGACTGTTATTCCTTTTATGCATATGCGTCTTATCTATTTCATGGTGGATAAAAATATGTGATTATTTCAAAAAATGATGGACATTATCTTTTTTGTAGCAATTGAGATTCACGCTTGTAACAATTTTTTTGGAGCGTAAGTTGATTTAAAAATAACGTACATATATTGATTCACAAGACAAAACTGAAAAACAGCAAATGTTATGAATGGTAGTCGGTTTTAAAATTTGTAGAGGAATGCAAAAGCGAGATCTTTGTATACAAATCCTTGGTTACAAATGAAGTCCGGTTTTAAAATTTGTAGAGCAATGCGAAAGCGTCACCTTTGTATACAGGTTTTTGTATGCAAATGAAGATCGCAGCTTTTGTATCATCAATTAACAAAACGTTTGGATTTTTTTCAACTTTCGTTTTAATTTTTTTGCTCTTTTTTGCATTGGTTGGGTTAAAAGTTAGGTGCTAGTATTTTCCCCCTAGCATTTACCGAGTCAGAAATCAGATCCTACGAATTGATTCTGAATAGCAAAAAGTTGGAAATGGCTTTTCTTGACAGCGAGAATTTTTTAAATATCTTGTTAAGAGTAATGAACGTAGTAAAAACTCGTATATAAGTCTTGGTGTTTTTTTGTTTTTTTTTTTCAGGAGAAAGTCTTAAAATGCTCTTATAACTACACATGTGCATTCATACATATTAATGCATTTATGAATACACTTAGTTATATATGCATTTTTTGAGTTCAATTGAAATCCATGTGCTGAAAATAACGTAAATAGCACTCTTTAATTACGAACGTGGAAATTTTTATATTTTCAGCAGATTGAAAACTTTACCTAATGATCCAGTTTTCTCAAGCTGGGTGAATGTTCTCAAAAAAGCGTCAATCATAAATTGTCGTAGAAATTCGAAGAGCTTAAAGGGCATCTATTTTTTCTTTGAAATTCGAAAGTTGAGATTTTTTCAACCAAGTCAGTTTTTCTTCTGTTTACTTGCATTCATTACTCTTTTCCAGCTGTCAGTTGGCTATGTTTTTTGGAATTCACATCACGGCAGAAAGGGTTTCAATAAGATAGACACACTTGGCCTATAAACTTCCTCGAGGATTGTCAACTGCGTGAAAAAAAAAGACCCATTGCCATAGTTACCTTTCTCTATTCGAGAGTTGTCTTATCTGGTAGGGCGACAGTTTGAAACAGGCGACACTTTGAAACACTCGACAATTCGTAACAAGCGACAGTTCGTAACGAGCGGCAATTTCTGACAAGGCATCGACAAGTAGCATACGCTTGTTTCGCTGCACTTACATCCGGCACGAGAGGAATACTGCGTGTGAATAAATGTTCCCCGCTTAATCAATTGTAACGAATTGACACTTGTTGCGAATTGTTGCCTGCTACGGATCGTCGCCTGTTACGAATTGTCGCCTCACGGTCTTATCTATTAGAATAGCCGGATGTTGCGCAACTGCCGTAGACAGTTTCGAAAGAGTTTTGACTGTAGTGGTATGGTGAAAGAAGGATCGGAGTTAAAGCTCCGAGAACAAAGTATTATCAGCTTATTTAAGCTTAAATATCATCAATGTATTGCTCATGTACTGTGCAGAATGTTGAAAGGTTGACAGATCTAAAAAAAATGATTTTTGCTCCAAAATATTTTAAGGATTGTGATCAATCCTTCGAAGAAAAAGCAACCTCGGTAATATTGTTGTTCTTGAATACTTGTAATACCGCGATTTAGATTAGTTTTTATTTCATAAACTATCTGATTTATTTTTGTTTAGAAGCTCTTAAAATTGTCATCTAAAATTTTGGTAATGTTCCTTCATTTTTGCAGCAACCGACACTTTTGCACAAACAAATTGTTCAACAACTGCATTTCGCTGTGCACTCAATTGAGATAAATGTTTCGAAAACGAAAAGTTTAAACGAAAAACTTCACCTTTTTGTTATGAATAAAATTTTTCCTGCGATTTTAATACTGAGAACCAATTCTGTTTTCAGGAAGGAACAACCGGCGGAAGTGAAAACAGAAACAGGTAATTCAAAAATTTTTATAACTTAAATATTTCATTTTTTAAATTAACCAATTGGGATAACTTTTTTTTTCTAGTACGATTAAATTTAACATTTTTAATTTCGAATTAAATATTTCTAATATGAATGAAATAAATTACAATTCTCTCATCTTTTTCAAAGAAATTAACCAGTTTACTGCAGATCTTGTCAAAACTTAAAGTCAACGTGAAAACATTGTGACTAACAAATTTGATAGACCAGTTTTTTTCCTCGGTAAACTTCTTGCGCATTTGAATTAAATATGTTTGCAATAAATCTAGCGATCCTTCTGGATCTAACGCCGGAACAAACGGTCCGGACCAAAATGAAGGACCAGATCTGAGCAAATTCGAACCTCGAAGCTTCAAACCAAATGAAACGATAGATGGGTTCCAACGAATGGGCAAAAATCAGCCAGCTAAGGGCAAAAACAAAGCCCGAAAAAACCAAGCTGCTGTTACTTACAGAAGTAACAATCATACTAAAAAGAAAGAAGTTCCGAGTAAAGGAGTTAAATCTACGCGATTTAAGACTAAAAATGGTGAAGTTAAGCCTTATAACAGCAACAAAAGCTGTAAAAGTCAAACGAATGAGAAAAAATCAGCAGCTATTCAGACTGATTTGGGTGAAGCTATACATCTCAATTCAGAAACCGCACGAAATGACCACTCCAACTAAGTCTGCTAGGGTTATTGAGTTTAGCTCCTTTTCGATAAAAAAAAACAAGCACATTGGCTATTTTTTTTTCTCAAATTTTCACGAAGTAAGTAATAAGAAAAACGGCCAAAAGCTTACAAAAATTATACTAAAACATTTTTTTTGCAAAGTTTTGTAAAAATCGTAGATTCTATAATAATTATTAATTAGTCGGCTACACATGTCGTGTTTAATTTTTGTAATCACTTGAGAAGCTTGAAGTAGGTTTCAACACTTGAGAAATTACACAACATTTGGCTTTTGACTTTTTCTAGCTTGATTTTCTGACTTGATTTTTATGACTTCATCCAGAGTTCGATAGTGTTTCCGCGATGCCTCCCGCATCGGCGCCCGATTTTGAGGAACCAGTGCCTGACTCCAAATCAACTTTTCTAAAAGAAGACGACGATTTAGAGGAGAGAGAGAAGAGACATCCTGAAATGGATCCTCTCGGAAGAACTGCAACATGTTTAAATCATTGATTTTTATAACGATTTTGACCAGTGATTTTTTTTGATAACGAAATGATTGAGCAAAAGCAGAATTTGGTTGTTGCCATTTTTCTCAGTATAAATCTTTATTTTATTAGTCTCACATGAAAGCGACTTTTTGAATCATTTTCTGATTTCTTAGTTTTTAGTTTTTTTCGAATATCATGTCAACGGTCAAAAAATGTATGGCAAATGATGTTCACAAATAGTTTTATATTTTGTATATATAATTTTATCGTTAATAGTACACACATTTTTTTTCTTGCTGGTTAGTAGAATTATGCAATATCTCTGATTTAAAATTGCTATACAAGACAAACAGCAACTTCAAAACTTAGACATCAGCCCAATTTTGGGTCGAGAAACTGAGAATTGGGAAATTAATTCCATACAATCCGATGTTTATGCCAGTGCTCGGAGTCGGTTTTTCCAGATAGTCCAGTCCCGGCAACAACGAAACTCAATCGGTTCTCATGGAGATTTTTCACCCGTCCGCAATTTAAGTCTTTTACATTGTTTTGAAGAAGCATATATGGCAAAAAATGCTTCTAAATTTTCTCCAAGTACACTTCAAGATGCCGAAGAAATTTGTGAAAAAATGAGTGTTGCGTCTCTGAGAAGTCTAGATTTCCCAGATGTTTCGACACATGTTAATATTTCGACAGCCGCTGGTTATGACTTACAAACTCCTCATCAAGTGTTCGAGGATTCGCAGCGATGTGAAATTTATAACGAAGTATGGCCGGATTCTCCTTCGAGTTTTGAAAACGAATATAACCCCAATAGTTTGGTTAACTACCCTATAACGCCTTATAATTGCTCTGAAGTTGATCTTACTGAACAAAACCAATTGGCAATACCAGAATCGCGACCCAAATGTCCTCGAAAAACTGAAATTGCTGCTAAAAAAAACCAAAATGATTGTCCAAGTTTACCTGAAAGAATAGGAACTGGGCTAGTTGATGACAAAGCTTTGATAAATGAACAAAGTTTTGAGCATTCTGAAAACATAATGACCTCGAGTAATCCTAGAAGGTCAAGTGAGTCTAAAAAGAGCGGCGGTGGCGCTGGTGATAGGCTGAGAATATCTTCTAAGCCGAAATCACGACAAATCGAAAGAATCGAAACAGACAAAAGAGCGTCCGAACTTTTGCAGAGCAAAATTCAAAGTATTCTTGCTAACGAATTCAAGCTTAGAGAAGACGTGCCAAAGAAGAGCAGTTCTAAATTGAAGACAAATGCTGCTTCGCGATCGAGACTGGGAAAATATATTAAGAGCCAAAATCAAGCAAAATTTGGGAAAATTAGTCAGAATTTCAGACTTTCGGCCAAACGAGCAAAGGTGGCTCCTTTGGGCAGTAAATTTGAACCGGTAGATGCGAAAGTAGTTCCGGTTTGGTCGATCTCAAGTACCAAAAGAGAGAATCCAAAGTTCAAAATAGTGAAGCATTTCAGGTTTAAATGTCTCCTCAAACATCTATCTTTTCTTTACAATAACTTCTGTTTCTACTTACACTTTTCTCGAATTTTTGTATATAAAAGTTAGAGGCGCCAATTTAGAGAATACAATTTATTATTAATTCAATGTTTGTTCAAAAGTCTCTAGGCATTTTGCAATTAGTTCCAACCTTCATTTCAAAATTTAAAAGTTGGACTAAATTTCTTATTTGAAGAAGCATTTAGATGGATGAAAAAGACAAACAAAAAAAATAAGGTTGCTCAAAATTTTTGGCGTTTCTTTTCAACGGTTAGCTAAATTTTTAGCACAGCAGTTCGGTAAACGTTTTATGCCAAACTTTCCGACCAATTCAAATTATTTTTTGAAGGTCTCCGTCGCCCTCTCGTGGCCTGAGTCGCTCCAAATCGATGACTAATCTGAAGGCCAATGGACTCTGTCACAAACCACCATTTGTTGTCAGGAAGGTAAGGATGGTTTTAAAATGAATGACAATGGCCATATTTGATACCATCACGTGATACAATCTTTGAAATTTTAGATGGGATCACGTGAAGTGATATAAATAGAACTGAAAAATTCTTAGAAATTATTTTTTATCGATCACAGTAATGACAAATTATCCAAAATTGGTGCCGATTTTCAGTCGGAATTTTTTTTCTGATATTGGTTTGTTACCATAGCGGAGATTACTATCATGCGCTAATCCAATGCAAATTATCTTAGTTCATTCTCAAAATTGATTTGCGAGCTTGTAAAAGGTTGTAAAAAATATTTTAATCCTTTTTGCTTTGGTTTTTTTTTCATTCACAGGTTGACAAGGATATTTTGAAGACTAGTGAGCCGATGGCGGCAACCGAGGCACTCGTCAGGCCCAGCAGGTCCACGAAGAAGAGGAAGGGGACCAAAGGGAAGAGAGCCAAGTCCAGTCAAGGGGTTAGGGGATTTGGAGGGGGGAGTAAAAGTTACATGGTGGAGAAACACTTCGGACCAAATGCTGCTGATGCTTACAATGACTACGATGATGATGAATACGTAAGCTTATCATTATCTCAATCTGCCCCCCCCCACCTTATTATTGCAAGTTTCAATTCTCATCTTCAATTTGCATGCTACTATGTATAAATATGTATGACATTACGAAGAAATGTGTTAAGAACAAATGTGTTCACAATAGTGAATTTGTTTACAGTGCATTTTTTTGTTTCCGAGCATTTGAAAACTAGGGAGGAACTTTGTATTCGGGTGTGTTTTAGTTTTTTTCTTGTGGTTTTGTTTTCTGCGCAAAGTCAGCTACACAAAATAATCATCGCGGAGAGTTGAGTGATATATCATATTTAAGCCCTTTCAGTCTGACTCGAACAAAATTTCAAAATTTCAAAAAAAATTCCTGTGTCGAGAAAAACCGGTTTGAATTTCAAAATTCGTATGAGTAAAGCTAGCGAGCACGCTTATTTATGCTTAATTAAGGCCGTTTAAATTAGTTTATTTATGCTTAATTTCATTTTTACTCGAGTAAAATCAGTTTTTGGATATTTTTAATGCCATTTTGGGAATCAAAAATTCAAAAATATTCTGCAAAAAAAAACATTTGAAAAAAATTTGCTATTCTTATGATTTTTTTGTTTTCTTAGTCATTTTATTTTTTCTTCGAAAACTGTTCTCATGTTTGAGCATTTTACTGATAGTGGAATATGACGAAATTATAGTTTTACGTCAGATCTTTTTATCACAACACGCAGAAAAAATTACACTAATTTGAAAAAAAAAACTTTTTTTCTTGGGAGTTTTTCAAAGACCATGGTCAGAACATTCTGTGCTACTTGCAAAGTAACCGGCTGTTTTTTTTGCATTATGACAATGTTTGTTCTGCAGGTGTTTTCATACATTTTGATTTCGTAAGATCAAGATTACGTAATGTAATAATAATTTTTATATATATCCTAAAATATTGTTTGTTTTCTTGCAGGATGTGGGAAGCAAGTACCGTGACAATGGGGTCAAGGTCGTCAATTTCTCTGATGAAGACGACTATAGTGACAACGAGGCACTAGAGCTGAAGCCATCGAGACGTAAATAGACCGAAAACTTTTTCGATTTTTTTTCAAATGTTAAATTCTTAGTTGCTTTGTTGAATTCAGACGGAAAGTCAATACCCTTGAGTTATTTTGCTTTTTCTGATCTTAGTCTTTTTTCAGCCTACTCTTCAGCGCCATTGAAGAAAAGCTACGACGATCTTAGAGCGGTAAGAAAATTTCCAGCCGATGACAACTATATATGTCTCATCTAAAAACCTAAAAACATTCCAATGGCAAAACCGAAAAGGACCAATTTAACATCCCCCCAACGGCTTTGGGGGGGGGGGGGGGGGAGATGTTAACTTGGTTCTAGGTTGGGATTATTCAGCCAATCAGGAATCGAGCGTTTTACATGCAGCGCTTAGCAAAGTTAATTTATAATAAGCGCTGGGGTGGAGGATCTTAACTTGGTCTATTTGGGGGAGAGGATGTTAACTTGATCCACCAAAAATGCTTTTCTAACGGCAACTTTAACTTAAACCGCGTAGCTTTTGTTTCTCCCTTTGCTCATTTCATGAAAATCTAACTCGAAGCAGTTTTTTTTTCAAAGTAGTATTACTGTTGAGTCGGATCTACTTAACAATCCCCCCCCCCCCCCTATTGTATCTACTAAAGAATCTCCACCCCTGTAAACAAAAACAGTAAATTCGCACAAGAGCGTTGTATGTATATTCGAATTTTGCTGCATTCTGATTGGTCGAAAATTCGTTGCAAGTAATCTACTTAACAATCCCCCCCCCCTTCCTTGAAAGGGGAAGAGATTGTTAAGTAGATCCGTTGAATCTATCACCAATATTGAACCCTTTTGAGGTTTGCTATATACAAATCATGAATGCAGTGCTTTTACGACCAATATATACTAATTTTGAGGGGGGGGGGGAGCGCGTGCCAAAAAAAACGCATTTTTTGGTTATAAATTCCCAAAAAAGTGTCTAAAAACGCCTTTTTTGGCCTGTTTTTTTTTCCAAATTTTGCCTGCGGCGCAGAAAATTGACCAAACAAGGACTTTTTAGTGCTTTGGGAGAGCTCGAAAAATCAATTTGGTCGACCTTAGAAAAAGGTCGACTTGAAATTCTCCCCCATCCCCCCCTCGCCTCGAGAAAATCCTAGATCCACCCTTGATTTCAACCAATTTCAACCCGTTTCGTCCAACTCATCGAGACGTGGGGCCAACACTCGTTCACACTGTATTATTGTTATGTGTAGGAACGGTACCTGAAATACGACCTTCTGCCCCCTCCCCCCACCACGCCCTATTACACTAGTGTGTATTCTGACGTCATCCTGGAGCGACTGGACAGGAAAAGGATGTTGGAGGAACTTGAGAGGGTAAGTGTACAAAAAGTGTTTCGCGACCACAATTAAAAAAAAACAACTGCTGAGAATGGGAGGAGTTTTGGTTCCAATCAAACCACCCTAATAGGGATGGGAATGAACTATGGCGTCCCCGTGTCAAGAAAAACTCAATTTTCAGACTGATTTCACAATCCATTTTTTCTGGGATTTTTTTCAAAATTTTTGCTTTTATTAACTGACTCTCATACTTTTCAACATTTTTCTATTTTTTTGTTCAAAAATTTTCAAAACAGCAACTGACCATCGTTTTACAACCCGTATTTGTTATCTTTTTCACTCAAAATCAGTTAAACATCAACAAATATTGTACAAAATCTGTTGAAACCCATTTTAAAATGAGGCCCCCAGTGTCGAAAAAAAGGAGTGAGAATTAAAAATTTTCGCCCCTTAGATATATTGGATCTTGTTAATTATTTCCGCCCCTATGGTATTTTGTAACGAATCTCTCCCCCCCCCCCCCCCCCCCCCCCTCCTTATAAAGAAGTAATTGAACAGTTAAAACTGGACTTAAAACAAATAAAGTAGATTTGCAATTGCAACTTGAAGTTATTTAAATTGGCGCCCTTGCAAATTTTGAGAAATTTTAAGGTGTCCAAAGTCCAATTCTAAAGCGGTTATTGAAAATACCAAGTCAAGACTTTCAAACCTCTTCGGGCTAACTAAGCTTTGAATGTCTTGAAAAATATAGCCGTTCAATCATTTCGTTTTTCTTTAGATCTCTTTAATTATCCCCCCCCCCCCCCTGTTGCAAAAAGGTGGGTTATAGATACTGGACCCGCCTCAGATTGGTTAAGACCATTTATCCACGAGGGAAAGGAGCAACATAAGAGCTGTACAAGCTCATCACGGCGAACCGCTGTTGTGCCCCTGCTTAAGAACTACATGCATTGTTTGGTTATTTTTCTGGGCTGGGTAATGTTGCCTCACCCTCAAGCAACACCATAGAGGGGATTGTTGAAGATATCCGTTTTTTTTTCAGGAAGCGAGAATTTCCCGACTGCATAGCCCTTACGTGAGCGGAAGTGAAAAATACGCCGAGAAGTATGAACAAGAACTCTACTGGGCACGAAAACGACGAGAACTGGAACGAAGTCTGGACCGACTCTACGACAGGCTCTACCGACTGTAATGACATCATAACTATCATCATTATGTAACTCAAAATACTAATGCTCAGGATCATGTTGCTTCATACACTCGATGTTACGCAATGAGACAAGAAGTTACGTAACGTCGCTTATCAACAATCTGGATGAAAAGAATCATAAACAGCTTTTACTTGTCAAAAATGTTCAAGTATAACAAACCAATTTGTGTCTTTGAGAGAGAGCTAAATGACTTTAAATGTGAATTCTGTGCGAAGTTTTGTGTACGTTTTTACTCTTGTTTTTACTGAAAGTATTTACCATGCTTTAACTAATAAGTAGTAATAATTTGTTAATGAACGAGCTGCAGCAATATAAACTACAAATTTGATTCTATGTCACTATAGTTTGATTTTTTTCAAAGCTCTTTCATTATCATAAATTTAATGATTAATTTTGAATGCAAATTGTAATTGTAAATTGTACATTGGATCCAAGTGTAAATACTGTAGATACTATTTGTTAATTCAGTTTTTCTGAAAACGTTTGAAAGCAAGATAACTGTATCCAGACAATTGGGAAAAATGATACAGAACAATGAGACAAATTATAGCACAATCTGGCTGGTATGGGTTCAGAGCTTGCCAACAGAGGGTAGGACTTTATACAAGATTAGAGCCGGTTATTGAGCCGGCATTCACCGGCGACCTTAAAGCGACACCTGTTGCTCAACTTGTAGCTTGCTTCCAGTTATCGCTTTTTCGAGTTTCCGGGATTAAAATTACAACTACACCCCCTTCCCGGAATGGAATAAGTAAATATCTCCAACCCCATTTTTGTTGTCCGGAGCTCAAATGTTTTAAAAAATATATGTACAATTGTGACCTTTTTCGAAAAGTTAAGGGGCTTTGGAAATTGGCAATAAGGCCAGTTTGGGATCATTAGCGCGCGATATATTGCGTTTACATAAAACGGGGGGTTCAACAGTGCCGAAAAAGGCGGGAAAATTTCAGAATCCTTTACACGCATTTTCTAAAGAGCGGGAAATTACTGACGCTAATTATCAAAGAAAATCACTCCAATTTCGGCGCCAAAATGTCTGCAACAGCAAATTAAACAATTATTTTGGCGCCAAAACGTCTAAATTGCAAATTTTCTCTCCCAAAATCTTTAATGCCACTTAAGATTGTAAACGATCTCTGTTTAATTTTTGCTTGCCGCCTTTAGTATGTTGAAATTTGTTCAAATTTTCGGCACTGTTGAACAAAGTTTTCATTTTCGGCACTGTTGAACAAAGTTTTCACTTTCGGCACTGTTGTACTTCGGCACTGTTGTACTACCCCCATAAAACGTGTACGTTTACATAGCGTGAGGGAGATAATTTTTTCTAAATGATTGTTTCTATCAATTTTTCTGCATAAACTGTGAAGAATTTCGTCTTTCTGATGTTTTTTTTCGGTCCGTAACAGTGGGATGATTTAAACGTCTTGGCAAGCAAATCATAATGGCCTTCATAGTTCAAACAAACGCTTGTGACCAAGCATTTGGATCTGGTCTCGTTATCGCTAGCTTTGGTCTGCGCGGGCTGTGGAACCCAAGCCCCGAAGTGGACGGGGGGGTCGCTCATGGACGTTCATGCTCATGACCTTATCCCATTTTCTTAGAAAATCACTCAAGCAAGGTTGCAATTTTTTCTTTGTCCTAACCTCCTTCTTGAGTTGGACTATCTACATTACCCGAAACACTTTCCTTTCCCTCAACACCTTCTTTAAGCCAAATATCACCATCAACATTTCCCCTCAATTTTCCTACCAACCTTGATTCACGGTATCAAGAACAATCATCTCAAAATATACCACTACTATTAGATTGGAATACATTCGTAGCACCCCCACCATTATTTGGTCAACATCAGGAAAGTAATAGACTACACAACTGGGCAGTAAATAGATTACAATATCGACTTGATATTCACAAAGATATACAAGAACATAATATCCAAATACTACAACAAAGCAGTCTCACACTAAAATTCGAACTTACAGTAAGATTAAATAACATTGTTCAACATCCATTTCCACTAGACCCTCCAAATATAACAGCTCAATCTTTACCTCCCCCATTTATAACAACAGAAATAACAAATAAATACGATAGATATACAAAAAAGACAATCGGATACATAACATTTATTATAACCCATACTCAGGATTGTCATACACATGTATATTCTAAAAATAATCAAATTTCACCACCTCCTTTTTCTCATTTTTTCCGAACCAAATCAAAATCCCTCTCCTTGCACAGGACCCCAAGATTTATTAGTAACACACTACGATTGTGAAGAAAACGAACAAAAAACACTGCACAAATATGCTATAAATCAAGTCACACAATGTGAATCCGAACCACAAGCTATAGAAACAACAAATAAAATAGCTACACTATACTCAAAAGCCCGATTAACAACACTAACAGGATACAAATTTATAGCAACATTTTCCAAAAAGAAAGTACCTTGTTCACAAGTTTCAAACTGAAATAAAAACTGATTGGACCACGAATCTTTCTACCAAAGTAATATTGAAAGATCACTACATCTACTAAGCCCTCAAGACTTTAAAAACGAACCAAAGCGACTAAATTTAACACCAAACGAAGGCACAAAAAGAAAACTTGTAAATTTTCAAGTTTTTCCAGATGTAGCACATCAAGCAGAATTTGAAAAACACCAATGTCACATAAGACTAGATACAAAATTCCCCTTCCATGGAGCACACGGATGATTAACATACAATCTTCATGATAAAAATTGGATACCACATATAGGAATAAATAACCCCTCAAATTGCAAAGCAACAAAAATTAAAGGATACCAAGAAATATTTTTTTTTTGATATGAAAAAACAACTCGAAAAAGTACAATTTACACGCGATATAAAAGACGACACAATTCTTTACCAAGGAATTAGACTCCCTTGCAAAAATGGCCAAGGATATTGCGATTCTACAACACGAACACAAGCAACCATTGGATGGTTTCCCGAAGAAACCTGCACAGTTTTTCAAGTAGCAAAAATACACGCAAGAATGATTAAATTTCACAAAATTTTTTTTTTCGAATCAATTTTATATGAAAATGTAAATCCCGACCAATTTAGATCTATGAACCATAAATTTAGAAACATCCGCAATATAGAAAATAAACTAACACGATTTCAAATATACCCAGAATTAGAACTTGCATGTAAATACAACTAGCCAATTTATAAAACACAGTATTCAGAAACTCTTGTTGAATACGAAAATGGTTTCGACTTGAATACAAGACATTTAATTGTAGACCCGATGGCCACATTTCACTCACTTACCGACGGAAATCCTTACGTTTCATTAAATTTTCAGAAAAACATAGGACAATTTGGTGGAAAATTAAAACCACAAGACTCAGAAAGTACACGATTACAAGAAATATCACTTATGAACAGCACATATTTTGGCGCAATTCAATATGATATCATTTAGATATGAAACTAGACTACACAATAAGCAGAACTTTTCAAAAAATGTCACTTTCAGAATTAGAAACACTACAACAATTATGTGAAATTGAAAGAACACAATTTCTACAGTCACTAGCACTAGCAGTTCTAAAAATACCATATGCAGGATATTTATTATCCGGAAATAGATCAAATTTCATTGATTATGAAGGAAAAATCTTTTGGTATTACACTTGTACCAAAAAAGTATCACCTTTATATATTTTTGAAGATAAACGATGTTACAAAAGAATCCCAATATTCTACAAAAATAAAGTATATTTTATTGATACACTCTCAGGACGAACATATTTTTGGCATACAGCAGTACCATGTGGATCAGAAAATAGCCACAACATTGTACAATTAAATCCCGATGAAGATAAATACTATCTACTTACACCATATCCAACATTAATGCCACCACTAAAAAAGTTTTCACCCGAAAACATTAAAGCTATAGCCCGAAACCCAAACATCGGTTTACAATCGATAGGTATCTATTCTTAATCCGATATACAACACCTCATACTTGCACAACAATTTCAAAAACTACTTAAAAAGATAGACACTATACAACGACATTCAATAGATCAAAACTTACGAAAACTTGCAGAAACAGCAGGATTTTCAGACATTTACGCACAAGATTATAGCGGATGTTTTAAAGACATAAAAACTCTGTTCATCTAAACGGCAAAAAATATCGATCACAAGATATATCACCAATCAATAGTTTTAGTTTTGTAAATTTCAAAAACGAACTTTTAGCCTTTCTAGGATGGCCATATTACATCTTAGAAAGATTGACTATATTATACGCAATGTTTAATTTTATTGGTTTTAAAGTTTCTTTGTTAAAAGGCATTTATAACACATGCGCAATCCACACACAAGTCAATAGACAAGCGAGCGTAGCACGCATACTTTTTGCAGGATTTTTTGGAATATTTTCCACATCTATAGATAAAATACTTTTAGATGCACAAATAAAAGAAAACAATACAAAATTATCAACTGCACCAAACACATATGACGAATCACACAATAACACAAATACTTTACCTACAGCGCCACAACTACCAAGTTTAAATCAAAACCATCCACTATCACTAGTACCACGGAATTTCAGAAACTTAGCACTAGTCAACATCACTAATTCAAGATCAAATCATATGCAAAGCCCAATTTAACACATTGTAACACAACAACCTCAAAATGACGATACATATGAACAAGTAATCGAACAACCACATACCACAAATTCTCACTCTCAGAACAATCATTTTTTTAGCCCACGATGAGCCGACAAGTTGGATCCCTTCACCGTTCCTTTTCCCACCCAGCCAACCTCCAAAACCCAATTCCCATCATACGACTTTTTGCTTTCCCACCACCTGAATTGCCCAATGTTAACGCATCATCCGGCATGGATTCTGACACTAATTCAGACATCACCGTTTTTAATACAATTTCCCAATTTAATAACTCAGACATCGAAACCCCAGACGAATTTGCAAACTCCGAACCCAGCTCACCAGCATTTTCCCAACCTATTCTCTCCCAGTCCACAAATCAAATAATTCCCCCTCGTCCATTTATCATATTTCCCAAGCAACCCCGACATATTCCCCTTTTACCAATGATCATTCCAACAACGATTCCCCAGAAACCACACAAATTTCACAAGAACTAGATAACCTAATAACACTTCAACAACAAATACAACATCCTCACACTCTAACTATTCACCAATTATCATCAAATATAACATCATCAAGCCCACCAACTCCTACACCCTCTTCTGATTATACCCCTTCTTTAGATCAATCCTCAACATCAA